ATGCTATCAAAATTCAACATCGGGAGCAGCTAGGGAAGGCCTCTGTCGTTCATACCATATCCTCTGCCGCTGCTGCGGCGGCCAAAAGGGGCTCTGTAGCACTTCTGAATGTGCTCCTCTGCCTTCAGTATCTACTCGGTCAAGGTCTGGCTATCCGGGGTCATGTGGACACGGATGCTAACCTGTGGCGGCTGCTACGTCTATCGTCCGTTAATTGCTCTGAGTTGGCTCATTGGTTGGCTAGGCAGCCGATATCGGCCGGTGGTGAGGGCCCTCGCTGGCTTTCGCACCGCACCGTCGAGGAGTACGTGCTCCTCCTGGGTGACTCGGTGCGGGATATACTCCTTAAGCGTGCCCGTGATGCTCGGTGGTTCAGTATAATATGCGATGAAGCTACCGATTCCTCTACCTCACAGAAGATCGCTATCTGTCTCCGCTTCGTCGATCCTTCTGATCTCGAGGTAAGGGAGTACTTTATATCGTTGATAAGGACCACGAGCGGGAAGGCAACTGCCTTAACCAATCATCTTTTGGACTTTCTGGAAGAATCACATCTAGACATAAGCAATACTCGAGGATTGGGTATGGATGGGTGTAGCACGATGTCGGGGAAGCATGGTGGAGTTGCGGTGAAGTACCAGCAATATGAGACGAGGGCTCGTTATATACACTGCATGGGTCACAGGTTGAATTTGACTCTGCAGGACGGGATCTCCACCATCAGCAATCGAGAGACGCGAGCTGCGTTCGAAGACGTGCTCTCCTTCTGTGGTGCCTTTGCATCATTCTGTCGAGACAGTCCGCAGAGACTTGCTAGTCTTGCTACTTTCTGCGAGAAAGATGGTGCTCGGTCGAAACGCTTACGTCCCTTATGCCCTACACGTTGGGTATTGCGTGTCAGTGCTCTAGAAGCTCTGAAGGATAACTATGAGCCCATATTGGAGTGGTTGGCGTCGATGATGGAGGGAACGACTCATTCTTCGGAAATGCGGGGCCGCGCAGCTGGGTTTCTCGCGAAATTCGAGAACTTTACGTTCTTCTTCTGTCTGAACACTCTTCACAAGCTCTTTTCTGAGGCTCATCCATGCCATAAATTCATGCAGGGATGATCGGCCAACTTGGCCAGCACTCAGCATGCATGTCTCACCCTCAAGGGCACCTGGGAGACAGGTCACACGGTGGCCAGGGCTGCCGCGTTCTACGACGAGATTACCGTCCTAGCCGGTGAGCTTAGGTTGGAAGATCCGAGGGCCTCTCGCGGATGCAGAGTGGGAAGGCAAAAAATTTCCACCGCTGCTGCGGCTGCCGACGTTGACGAACGGATATCAGTAGCGGCGAAGCGCTTCCACATCCAGCTATACTTGGATCTATATCGATGTGGTATCTCTTCTCTGGAAAGTAGATTCCTGAATGAGCAATTCAACAGGGTTATGAAGCTAGAGAAACTACTGATTTGCAACGACCCTGGTCCGTGGAAGGAGGAGTGTATATTGATGGCGAAAGAGGACTACGACGACGATATCGATCTTCCACGATTACGCAGAGAGTTGGAGACTTTCCACGATAACCTGTCCGACCGCAAAGTGCAGTTGCATAATTTGGATGATGTTCAGCGATGGCTCCAGGGTAGGCATCCGAGTTCAGAGCCTTCAGATATGGCGGTTATGGCCCAATTTTTCCCCACAGTGACTATATTGGTGAGATTGCTGCTCACTCTGCCACCATCTTCCTGCGAAGCCGAAAGATCTTTCTCGTGCATGGGTCGGCTGAAGAGTTGCCTTCGGAGCACGATGGGCCAGGAAAGATTAGAGTCCATGATGCGCTGTCACATTCATAGGGACACGTTGTATGAGCTAGACCTCAAAAAGGTCGCGAATTCGTTTATTTTAGCCAATTCCACGCGAATGGCTCACTTCAGACCCTTCGAACTTTTATAGATCACTGTGAGCGCACGCTCTCTGAATG